ACATAAATTTATGTTTCAAACTGTCGCATAAATTCTAAAACAGGGTTGTTCTCCTACAAGAATCCACGATTTTCTCTCTTTATTAGTCAACCATTCCCATAGCCCATAATAGGGTGACATAAATTTGTTTTATTTTGAATGTGCATAATAGGGTGACATATTAATTAGGAAACAAGCAGTTTGAACTGCATTTGCTTTGAAACACTGTTCTAACCTAGTAGTACTCAAATACATCTAGTATATGCCATAATGGTACTATTTCTCCTCTCAACAACCTTATTTTGCCAGGGTTTCTCAAGAACTGTTAACTGTATAACAATACCATTTTCACCACAAAAATTATTGAAATTCACCATAACAATATTCTTCCCAATATCAATTCTTAGACATTAGATGCTTTTGCCTTTTTTATTTTCTATCTAGGCCTCAAACTTTTTAAAATGACATTAGACTTCTTTTTAAAAATATAAATCCACTCTTATCTTCAAAAATCATCAATAAGGGTGTGTTTGTTATGTGGAAGAGGGGGCTGCCAAAGCCCCCTCGTCCACATTGTTTGGAAGCCACTGCTTCTATGGGTTACCATGAAATTGGCAGCCTCCAAAAACCAACGTTAATTGGTATTGTTTTCTGAGGCCGTTGGAAGCAGTAGCTTCCAAATAGCTCTTGCTCTCCCACGTAACAATTGCAAGAGTAGGGGTCAGCTTTTAAAAAAAAAAAGGGGAAGGGGGGGTCAGGTTGCCTGATCCAGACCCGAATGGAACCAGAATTGTTTGGACCCAACCCAAGAATATAAAAAAAAAGCTTAAATATATTTAAATGAAAACTCTTCCCAATGCCTATAGGCAAAAATGAACAGTGATTTCGTCTACCTTCATCACCATCCAAACTTCATCACACGGTCACAGTTGTCCAGTAATGTTTCATTTTTCATTTTTTTTTACAAATCCAAATTATTTAAAATTTGGAGTGTGTGTACATCTTAGTGAGGTACACCTAATAAAAATATGAAAAAAATAATTCACAAAATAGAAATTGATCAAAATACCCTCGAAAATTTATGGGGGTATTTTGGTCGATTTATAGTTTTCAAATTATTTTTTTTCATATTTTTAGTAGGTGTGCCTCACTAAGATGTACACACTATCCAAATTTCAGATCATTCCTATTAGTAAAAAAAAAATGAAAATTGAAATACTACCGGACAACTGTGACCGTGCGATGAGGGTAGACGAAATCACTGTTCATTTTCGCCTATAGCTGTTTTGTAGTATCTTCCATATTTAAATATTGTGTTAAATATGTATATGTAATTTAAATATTAAAATTAAAATATATAGTTATATTTAAATATCATATACTGAATACTATTTAAATATTATTACTATTCGATTCAGGTCCGGGTCGGGTCTACATGGACTCGGATAGTGTTTGGGTCTAGATCTTGGACCGGAACTGATCCGCGAGGTCCAATTTTTGGACCCATAACTGGACCCTAATCGGGTCCGATTGTCGGGTTCGGGTCCATAGCTACCCTTATGCATGAGTGCTATAGTTTGTGGAAGCTGCGGCTTCCACCAAAAAAACACGTCCCAAAAGTGACAAAATATGTAGTGCTCAAAAGAAAGTCCCTTTTCCTTTTACCCAATTAACATTATACCCCTTACTTCTTTTAGGAAAATATAGGAGTGGTGATTTTGGCTATCACCAAACCTAACATAAAACTCGGGCATGACAGTACTTGGGTGAGTTCGTGCAATACTTGCTCAAGTATTGTAAATTGTGATTGAAAATAGAAGGGATGGAAATCCGGCCCCCATCATCACAAAACTTCGTCATAGGCCCTTTTGAGCCAATATTTCACATTTACCTACAAAATTATTACACCTACAAACTAGATGCATATATTTCTCGCATGAGGAAGATTGAAAAATTGGGGATTTATTTACTCTATTTTGGAAAGCTTCGATTTCTTCAATTCCAATTGCCTATCTTCGATGAAAATTGAGGCTTAGGACCATATTTGCGTTCCTGATCCATCCATAGGCTAGTTCCTTCACGAAAATTAGAAAAAAAGCAATTTATAGATCTTATTTTTTATTTTTTTATTTAATTATTCGTGTTTTTCCTAATTGTTCATTTTTCTTATAAGCCAATGACATCAAAATTCTTTTTGTTTGATGTAATTAACTTTTATTTTTTTTTTCCTTATTTTTGCGCTTTTTGTACTTTTCTTTTTTGGCCATTTGTTACGCTAGGCTAAACATGGGCAAGTCAACTCTGACTTGTCCGAATTCCTCAGCTAGAGCAAGGGTGGAGTCCGGAGCTTGAGCGGAGTTCTGAAACCTTGGAATTTGTATATATTGCTGAATATTTTTTAAAAATCTGAGGATGATGCTTATGTGCAAGGATACAATGTGCGTGAGCACTATCCAAAAAGACTTCATGCAACTTTGTGCTTGAAATAGACATAGTAGTTTATATAAACTATAACACTTTGGCGTACACTTTACACGGCGGAAAATTGCCTCTCCCTTGGGGTGAGGCCAAGTTCCTCAGTCGATTCCGAGTAGTCTTGATTGAATAGTTTGGGTGATAGTAGGTATTGAGGTTCTTTACTAATGTTGGAACTATCGCCCACTTTGGAAATTTTGGTGAGGCCCTCCAACACACACACAGTGAATTCTTTGTCCATCATGTGGAATTTGAAAGGAGCCACAATTAGACTTAGATCTTAATGGCTCCTTGGGTAAAGGATTGTAAGTTTCTCAAAATTTGCGCAAAATCATCTGCTTTATTTAAATCTTTTCATAAATAAAATCTGGGTAAGGAAACGAGCCGGGTATAAATTGGCTAGCGTTTGGCGATTTGCATGCTTGATCCTAGGCTCAACTCCTACCAAGTGTATACAAAAAAAAAAAAAAGTCTGGGGGTGGGTGGGGGCACATTAAAACTTTGGGGTTGGCACCAAGGTCTTGTCAAATATCAAGTTCATTTCAAGTCAAGTTGCTCTTTGTTGTTACAATATTGTTTCAATTTTTTAGCTTATGACTTTTCAAATTACCTTTGTCCGTTGGATTAGACACTCTTGCACAACCTTAGGAAGGACTTAATACTCAACTTTCATCAACGGAAGACTCGCGGTGGCTGCTTCTTACGGTGCCTAGAAACTGGTTTAGCACCTATGCTAAACATGTAACTTGTGTAGACCTTCGAGTTGATGCATCTGCTACCTATGCTACAATGGATGATACAGCTGAGTCAAATGATAATTAGGTCTAGTGCATATCTTAAAGGTCTTGTTGTGTGAGTAAACAAACAGTGGTGATTTAATTGGACTGATTTCAGATGGTTTTCTGTTAGGGTCTGGTCAAGTTTGTTATGGTTTCAAGTTTCATCAGTATATGGCTACATAATCATGAGGTTGATGAGAAACACTTTTGGAAGGCAAAACTTTTCTCCTGGATGCCTGTTTGGGGTGGCCCAATGCTCAAATCGACGATCTATCTGATATCTACAACTTTTGACTTCTATGGATTTGCCCTATCTTGGATGTTTGGGTTTCAAATAATGGTCCAAAGATTGCTGCAATTAGGGATGGTAATGGTCCAGGCAGCTCGGCTTGGCCCTGTGAAACTAGGCCTGGGCAGCCCTGAGGGCTGGAGCAGGGGATGCAGGGTTGGGCCACCGCTGCTTGAGGGCCACTCTGGCCCTTTAGGGATCCAAGTTGGGCTCGGGCTAGGGCCAGCCTGACCCAAGTCAGGCCCATTGCTAACCCTTGCTGCAATACTTAGTGATGATCTTGTTTTCCTCGAGTTTTGGATTTCTTTCTTTTCATTATTGAGCACTTATTGTAATAGGGCTTTAATTTCAGTTTCCTTGAGTTATTGGGTTTCTAGAAAGTAAGGTTCCAATCTTTATTGGTTAGAAGCCTTTGAGGTAGATAGTTTCCTAGAATCGTTTTGAGTTTGTTTAATATGCTTTCAAGAGTCCAAGTATAGGACAAATAGCACTTTGAACTCCCCATAAAATACTCGTGTAAGCCTATGACCAATTCATTTGATGTTGAGAATAATGATTTGAGTTCTTGCTTTTGATGCCGTGTGGCCATCTTTGAAGGAGTGATTCCTTCACCTTGAGGAGATATTCCTCAACTCCTTTTGTGACAAAGTGATTCTACAACTCTAGCGTAAAATATTGGAGTGTCTTACATTAGGTTGGAGCCTTCTTCCTTTTCACATACTGCAAAAATATTCTACCTCTTCCCCATCTAGTACCTTTCTTCAAGCTTAATAACCTAGCCCTACTCTTTCCTAAACCCACCATCTATACCCTTAAGCTTTCCATCCTGAAATGAGCCATAATTTTGCCTCAACCCCTTCGTATCCATCAAAAAACCTTACTGGATCTGCAACTTTCTGACAACTCCAAACCCCGTAAAACCCTCAAAATCTGACCCTAATCGTTGTCCCAACCTTATCAAAACCTTCTTCATTGTTTTAGCCTCAATCCTACCTTATTTAGACATTCTATTTTCTATAGAAGACTTCAATATGATCAAAACCTGCTGTTCTAAATTTTATAGTACTCATTAGGGCTTTTGGGACTTCTACTTCTACTATGAATCCTAAACCAAATAATATTACTGAAGGAAGTAGGAAACCAAATACGTCACCAAAGAGTAGGAAATCCAACATGGACATGACTCGAATTCCAATTACAAATCCTATCCCAGTTTAGGCTTCTGACCTTACCCTAATTTCACTTTGTCCATCTCTATACAACCCACCAAAGGTTGATACACTGGTTTAGGGTCCAAGTTTGTTGGTCCTGCCTCATAGGTAAGTGATATCCTCTTCAGTTGGCAGTACATACTCATGTTCCAACCAATTCACACAATTTCCTAATGGCTTCCATCAGCCAAGTAATTATCTTGTTTTCTCATTTATGGTAGGCAATCAAATTCAACATTCTAAACGTGTGAAGCTAATTCAAAGCATTCCACCTCTTAACATAAAAATAGTTTTCTTGCCTTATTGAGTTTCTAGGGACAAGGAATTGAAATACTCAAATCTCATGTTATGTCATACCAGGAAATGTAAACAAGATCTTCCTCCACACATTTCTTGTCAGAATTTACCATTGCAATATTCATGGGTAATTGCATGTTTACCATTCTATTGCTTCATGAACAAACTGGAAGCTGTTGCTGATCCCTATAGCTCCTATATAGTAGAAATTTTCCATTCCATACTGGTGCTGCTTGCTTAAGTTCAACTTAATTGTTCCTTTGGGATTTCTCCAGGGGGTTAATATTATGAAGTGTGTTTTTGACTGCCATATACTAAATTCACAATGACTTGCTTAGTTCTATTACATAAGCACATCTCAATCATCTTTTCTCATTCTATAACTAATTGTCTCTTTCTATTTTTTTGTCCTGTGAGAATCCTCTTGTAAGAGTCCATGCTTCACTATGAGCATCAACCCATGACGTTTTCATTTAAAAAACGTTTTAACTTATTGTAAGCGATGGAGTTTACATTCTCGAAGAAGGATGTGTTTCTGCATCTTGTTCCTTCATTGGAGCATAATCTCTTATCACATTAACACCACTGCAACCCCGCTCTAACTGCACTTTGCAAAACCTATCTAGTACTTTTTTCAGTACTGAATTTTTTCTTTTCTTCTTTTTTGAATATTAGTAGCAAAGCATTTGTTGTGGATGGAAAAGTGGCCTGTCTGGTTTAAAGACTCTAAACTAGTCCAATTGGGAGGGAAAAGACTCTAAAACTAGTCCAATTGGGAGGGGCAGAATTAAGTTATGAATATGAACAAAAGAAAATTACAGAAAGTATGATTAAATAGAAATGGAGGAATAATTTTGAAGCAATTTTAAAAGGCATAGACATTGATATCAGGTTATATTGCAAATTATTTTAAATATAATTTTATATGTGGTTCTATCATCAATTCATGAAAAGAATATGTGATATGGACACCAAGATATATTTTCTACGGCCCACAATGACTTCCTAGACATGAGCAGAAGCAGGCTCATTCTTTGATCTCATTGAAGGGGTCCAAGGTGCAGTAGCTGAAGATGAAGGTGTTTTCCCATGAGGAAATATTGAAACACTGGTTAGAAGTTCTTGAAACCAATCCAGGTTGTAGGGCTGCTTAATACCGGCCAGATGGGTAATGAACGTATGATGCTGTCCCCTGATAATGGAACTCCTCTTCACAATAACTCCTCTTCACAATAACTGTCATTTCTTGGTCACTTCATAAGTGGGATCCAATATCAATTTCTTAAGAGTGGAATGGTAATGAGAATGAAAAAAGGGTGCAGTCTGATCCAAACATGTTGGACTGGCCAAAAATATGTTAAAAAATTTAGAAATTGAAAAAACCTTAAAAAATGTAAAGATGAGAAAATTAAGGCAAATAAATTTTCTAATCATAGAAATGATTTTTGTATGTTCGATGTTTTAAGTTTGATCTATGTCCAACAAATTGTTAAGTATTGCTAAGTAGGCTTCAGGAATAGCAAGTTCTACCTACATGTGGATGGGGACCTTGCTACAGTGAATCAGGTTCTTCAATAGTGTTATTTCAGCTCTCTTGTATATACGTTCGACTAACTCAATATAATCAGGTGGACCAATGGAAAATCCCCTCGTTCAAGCCAGCATACATGTGTGCTCAGTACAATCTTAATCGTGGTGACATCTTTTCTGTTGGGTATGCTCATGAGAGAACAAAATGGATGTATTCTCAAAGTTGTAAGTCTCTTAGCTTGAGGTTTTAGTGATCTAAGCCTTCTTTCTCTTTTTTATTTTAGCTAGTTTAGCGTCTCTTGGTTTGCCGTTAACATTTGGCCGAGAAGACATCATATAGTCTACATGACATGGTACTTGTGCTTATACAAGAGTGGTAAGTTTTGTGATTCTATGGTGTTATGAACGTGGGTCTTTGAAAGCTAAGGAGAGAGACTATTCCACTCCTAGCATATAGTCTTTTATGCCTTGAAGCATTTCTAATTTATTTCAGTAAATTGGGTTTTCAAATTACGAAAGTTAATTGGTCAAATCTGTTGGTTAGACTCAAACAATGACTTTTTAGGTTTTGTCGATTATAGATTCTCATTAATGTAATTGAGGGGTTAAACCTATTTTGTTTGTGTATGTCAAATGGAAGTGACTAAAATATTTGTTTGGTGTCATATATATATATATGACCGCTACAGTATCAGCCAATGGCCCAGATTGAATTTAGGCAGATCTGACGGTCACAACCTTATTTCGTATTTAAAGTTTTTTTTTTTTTTTTTTTACAAATCCAAATCACTAGAAAATTTATACGTAGATTCTACTTATCAAGGTGCACCTAATAAAAATATTAAAAATATAATTCGAAAAATATAAATTGACCAAAATACCCCTGAAAAGTTTTGGGGGCATTTTGGTCAATTTCTATTTTTTGAATTATTTTTTTTATATTTTTATTAGATTCT